TAAAACATGATCCAAGAAGAGAAAGCCCTAATTTTTAACATGTCAAAGTCCCTTAAATGCTATTTATGACATGTCTTTAACAAAGTTAAACTTACTTTTTTGATTGCAACTTATTTTATTTTAGGTGTAAACAAATTTATTTTCAAAAAGTTAATTTACCAAATTACCAGCAGAGAGCAGGACCCAGAGCAAATGAGACAGGCAAGTAAATGCTGATGGAGGAAAGAAATGAGAAGCATGGAGCATGAGAAGGCTGATGGGGACACAGTGCGGGACCAGGGACAGAGGGTACAATCTGAGCTTGGGGCTGGGAACGTTATCACCTGAGTAGGAAGGATCCTGGAACTGGGTGAAATGCCACCTGGGGAGAGGTGGAGTAATGCCAAAGGCTAGTAGGTAGCTACTTAACAACATTGCCTAATTCCAGATATCTATCCATGAATTACTTGATTTTTTCCCCACTTTTCATCCGAATGTACTACATTATGTAAAATCATGATATTTTACCCATTCTCTGTTGTGCAAGATAATCTTTGGGAGGGAGGGGGACATATGGGGATGGGATAGAATGAAAGGAATCTTTATGTATAATGAGTCAAATTGTGAAAAATAGCTGTCTTTATTTTATTTCTATGTTGAGTCTGTAAATATATATTTTAATCATTGAGGTGACGAAAAAAACAGCTTCAGTAGTTGTGGCATGCGGGCTCAGTAGTTGTGGCACACGGGCTTAGTTGCTCCGCGGCATGTGGGATCTTCCCGGACCAGGGCTCGAACCCGTGTCCCCTGCATTGGCAGGAGGATTTTTAACCACTGCGCCACCATGGAGGTCCCTGGAGCATTTTTTTAAAGTACATGCTGCACATGTTTTTTCGTATAAATCCCATCTTAATCACAGAAAATATGTGATAATTTTCCATGTCAATCCCCTATTAAATTCTATGAAAAACTGGAACGTACATTGGACTTAGGCATGCACTGTATATTCATTTTGAACTTATTTAAAACAGCACCGTTAGAACAATGGGTGGGCCTAAATATGTTGATCTGAGGGTCCAATAGATTAAGGATTTTTGTTTAATGAAAAACATCAGATTGCTCTCTGAAATAAAATACTATGATCACAATAGTACAGCCAGCTTTCAGCATTATAATGGGCTTAACTCCTTCACGAGGGCTCTGTTCATTTTTTTTTTCCCCCCCGGGTACGCGGGCCTCTCACTGTTGTGGCCTCTCCCGTTGCGGAGCACAGGCTCCGGACGCACAGGTTCAGCGGCCATGGCTCACGGGCCCAGCCGCTCCGCGGCACGTGGGATCTTTCCGGACCGGTGCACGAACCTGCGTACCTGCATCGGCAGGCGGACTCTCAACCACTGCGCCACCAGGGAAGTCCGGCTCTGTTCATTTCTGTCTAAAGTAAAAGCCCCTAGTCTGTCCAGCCTTGTCTTCCCAGAACCTCAAATGGCAATCACCTCCCGTGGAGAGGTTCAGAATCGACCTGTGACATAGACAGGAACAGCCTGAGGCTTCTTTGACATACTTTTGATGTGCAATAACAAAAGTTATGGCCTGTATGGCTAGTAACAGAGAACTAAATGAAAAATAGTTTTCACAATGATAGGAACTAAAACTCCAGTCATACTTTAAAGAGCTATTAAAATGTAGTGTCTAGTGCCTTAAAAGTGTGCTTAGCTCTTTGCGGGAGGAAAGGATGTTTATCAGTTCAATATAAACTTTGCTAAGAGATATGTGTATGTAAAATTAATTCGTATAATACTATACGTGTAAAATATTATTGACTCAAGATTCATATTTGTCGTGTATTGAAAAATCACATATAATACAAAGGGTTTAGGCTAAACTTGACCGCTCTAGGTATAGAATCCTCCTTAGCAAATTATAATGACTCCAGTCTTTTGGTTCATTAAAATAAATCAATGACCAAAATAACATTTTTCAGACAATATTATTTTGCAGTTCTATCCTCACTAACTTTATCCTATTACTATGCTAGTATAGAGGCATTTGGACTAAACAACTAATCTATAAAATCTGGTCCGACCCTAAGGTTTTTTGTTTTATTATACCAAACTCATACAAATGCTAAAACATTTTGTTATCCTCTGACTTACTTTGCATCTTTTTTGGCTATGATTACATGATTACAATATGACATTAACATGTAGCTCGAAATATTTAAAATGCTACTTTTTCCCATTATTCTGGTTTGGACAGAATATTTTTCTGAAGTTCAATAACTTACAATGCTCAAAAATCCTACATGGTTCTGTAATGTTAATTTTTATTTCCTTTTCCTGTGATTTATTCATGATGTTTCATGAATGCTGCCCAAATTAGGTTTATTTGGTTCAAGATGCTGCAATGGGAAGCAGGTCACTGACTGGGGGATACAACAGACCTGGCCTCTAGTGCTGGCTCCAGGTAGCTTTGTGGCCTTGGGAAGATATCTGATATCTCTGGGCTTCATTTCTCTCATATTTAAAAGGCAGGGGCTGGACAGCTGATCTCCGAGGTTTCTTCCGGCTCCACTTTCTATGACTTGCAGTTTGGTTGCCATAAAGTCAGCAGAGGGAGCACTTTTTCTACATCTCATAAATTTTGACTATTATTTCAACACCTTTCAAAAATCAAGGGGTTTGTGAAGAACATTATTGAAACTAAATATTGACAATCTTTTGCACAGTTGGTATCAAATCACAAATTTGATTATAAACTTGAGAAAAGTCTAGAAATAATTATTTCTGTTCCTTGAATTCCATGATAAAGTCCCACAAAAGAATTATTTTATAAAGGCTAAGAAGCTAAAATATACCGAGAAATTAACCACCCCTAAGTGACAGAGCATTTATCCGGGATCCAGTGAAAGAGAAGCACCAGACCACACAACAGAGGCTACCTGGTGTCAAAGATGACAAGCTCTGTCAGTCATAAAAACATTAGCAAACTGGGTCTAACGTAAACCATGGGAGTCACTGGTAGGTTTTTCTTTTGCACTTTTCATGTAGATACATTGGGAACAACCAAGTAGACACAGCCAGAGCCTGGAGGCTTGCAAGAGATTGCAAATGTGTGATATCAAACCAGTGACAAATAAAGTTGTGTATCTGAGAACCTAAATGACTTTTATCCCTATATTCATAGATTATCTTAAAACTATCAGAGCATCCATTATGTCTTTTTAATTATTAGACAATCTCATAGCGTACGTATATTAAAGATTTTATTCCTTAGTAAGAATTTTAAAATCACAAAATAGTGTGGCAATATTTATTTTAGGTAATAGAATTTGTGGAGTGCTGAAAATACTAGAATATAAAGATAATTTCTAGTTTATCTTCACATACTAAACTTTTCTAAACCAAGCTGGTTTCTTGCAGACAGTGTTTATTTATTTTTTTTTAATAATTTAAGACAGCATAAGCTTGTACCAAGCATAAGCATTGTAACAAAAGTGCAACTTTTCAGCAAATCCTCCCCCAAAGATATTTTAACTCAAAATATCATTAGCACATATTTTTTCCCTACAAAAATAGCA